TGTATCACACCCTGCCCCCCAAAGAGAAGCCTTAGCAGTTGGTCCCTCTCCCCAAGCCCTTTTCCCTAGGGTAAACATAGTCTCATCTGTCTCTGGATACTCTGGGTACTGCAGGTAAAAAGAGTCAGACATTCCCTTTCCTTTGCGGTCTGTGGGCTGACTTATTTCATGTGGTGTAATGTTTTCAAGGTTCATCCATGTTTAGGGTAGCATCTGCATGTCTTTGTGTGGACAAATTATTATTACTTTTGTATTTTAAGGAAGGGTCTACAGGGTGTTCAGGGTCTCACTACTAGATCCAACTCATAATGATCCTCCTGTTTACAGCTTCCTAAGAGCTGGGATTACAGGCCTGCTCCACCACACCCAATCTCAACTGCCATCTCAGCAGGCCCTGGGGGCGGGGCCATAACAGCTTGCCCGGGGTTCTCCAGGCCGCTATGCCTGCTTGCAGGGGCTTTAATCCGCTGAGCTACTTGGCTAGCCCTGAACAAATTTTTGAGGAAATATAAATTTTCATTTCTAGTGCATATACTCAGGGGTGGAATTGCTGGGTCTTACGGGGATCCTGTTTAACCTTGTGAGGACAGCCTAGTCCTTTTCAAAGTACCCGTGCTGTTTTACACTGCCCTAGAATGTGTGAAGAAGGTTCTGGTTTCTCCACATCCTTGCCAGCACTTGCCTGACTTTTTTTCCTTCCAATCATATTTTAATGGTACATGTTAGATATACATATTGAGGCCAGGGAGATGGTTCAGATGCCTGAGTTCAACCCCCAGTTCCACCAAAAAAAAAAAAAAAAAAGATATAATAATCACATTTATCATAAAGAATTCGTGCCTGTACATAACTTGCTTTTCCTCCGTTCCCTTACCCTCCCTTCAACCCCTTAACTACTCATTAACAAAAGCTTTGTTTCCATGTTTTCCTTCTTTTTTTTTCTTCTTCTTTCCACCTCTCCTCTCTCTTATTCGCCTCTATTTGAATATTTCTTCCTAGTTCACAGTACCCATTATACATGTTGGTCTTTATTTACACTCTTGGTTTTTCATACCAGAGACGCAGTGTGGCACTGACACGTTGTGTCCCAGATTTTTCTTTCTGTTTTCATTGTGGTTTTTTGAGACAGGGTCTTGATGTGTACTTCTGGCAGAACTTGAACTCATAATATAGTCCAGGCTGGTCTCAAACTTTCACCTGAACACCCTATAGATCCTTCCCTAAAATACAAAAAAAAAAAAAAAAAAAAAAAAAAAAAAAAAAAAAAAAAAGGATGCATCGTTGGGACCCAGAAAGCAATAGTACAGAAAGAAAAGGTGGAATTGACTGACTGTGGATCCTCTTGCCTCAACCTCCTGAGTGGTAGGATTACAGGTATGCACCACTGTGCCCAGCCTGAACTTTATTATAACCATTTTCATGAGTATGAAGTGGCATCTCATCAAAAGCTTTTCTTTTTTTAGTACTGGGGATTGAACTCGGGCCTTGTGCTTTCGAGGCAGGCATTTATGATGCTGAGCTATATCACTAGCCTTCATCAAAGTTTTGATAGGATACTTTTGTTTTTCTTTTTTACCTATTAGATATTCAGAAGTGTTTTTTTGATAAATGATATTTACATGAAATATGAACAAATAATCTTTTGGACAGGTGATTTGACTTCTAAATTCATTAATTAGCTAGAAATGAAACCATAGGGCCATTATACATTTTTTTTTAAGACAGGGTCTCACTGTGTACCCCAGGCTGGCTTTGAGTTCTCAATTCTCCTGCTTCATCCTCCCTAGCACTGGGATTATAATCATGGTCCACTGTACCTGGCTAAACCCCAATTTTTCTACTGATTTTTTTCCATGGTGTTGGGGCCCACCAAGACCCATCCAAGGTCTTGCACGTGCTGGACAAGTGCTCTAACCAAAGAGCCACACCCTCAACTGTAAAATCCAAAGTTTTAAAAAAATAACTTCTGTGCCAAGGACGGTGGTGATGCACACCTATAAGCCCAGCGCTTGGGAGGCTGAAACAGGATGGCTGCTCTGAGTTTGAGGCCAGCCTGAACTACAAAGCGAGATCCGGTCTGATGTTTTTTTTCTCTTAGTTGACAGTATTATCTTGGTGATATTAGGCAGCCAGGCATGGTTGTGCATGCTTGTATTTGAGGCCAGTCTAGGCTACAAAGTGAGTGCAAAGTCTGACTGAATTATGTAGCAAGACCCTGTCTCAAAAAGACAAAGTAAAATAAAATGTCTGATATTAAGAACTACTTCCCGACAAGCAAAAGGGCCTGAGTTCAATGCCTGGTTCTACAAAAAAAAAAAAAAAGAACTACTGGTTTGTTGTGAAAATTCATGTTGCTGTGGAGGTTGCAGTGCATGTTTGCACAGTCAGCTAAATTGTGAATAAAATTCCAACTTTGATACTGTTCCTCCTCAAAACCTATCACTGCTCTGGGAGACCAGGAAAGACAAACCTGAATCATAGGCAGGCAAGCAATGACAGCCCCCTTCCCTCCAGGACCTTCCTTTGCCCTCTCACTGAAACACCTTGTGAGGAAGCCTAAGGGACCAATTCTGCTGTGGCTTCAACTATGGCTTCTGTTTAGAGAGCCACCAGTCCTGTCACCTTCAGGACAGGCAGTCTTTATAAAAGTATTAGTACACTTGCAGACGGCGGGGGTGGGGAAAGGTCTAGGAAATAAAATGCAAGTGTTCCAATGTCTCTGGGTAGAATTTGCCTCAGTAAACAGGAGACCCTGGGAAACAGAACAGGTTCAGAAAACTTCGTTTTGATGACTGAAAGTCAGAGAAACAGCAGCTGAATCAGATGGGTTGTGGTTTAGCCTATGTGTCTAAAGGTAATTGTCCAACTGCTTTGCTTTGGTTCCAGAGAGTTCTGTCTTGGCCAGGACCCATCCCTAGACAGGCTCTTGTCACAGGCTGTGAAAACTAAAGTGCAGATGAAGAAAGGCCTCAAATTAAAACCCACAGAGGGCCGTACCACTTGGTATGGTGTTCAAGGATTCTCACAGAGCCAGTGGGGTGGGGCCGGGGTCAAAGGTCGCACTACCTAGAGAGCAGCCAGCTTTCTGCCTGCTCAACCTCATCTTGCCTAATTCTCTGGGCCTGTGCTATGCCCCTTCCACTTTAGAATTCGGGGCGTTTGTGATGTTTATTTTCAGCAAGCACCATCACCCTTATCCTTCTGAAGATGTCTGAAAGACCTCGCGCACAACCCGTTTCAGGAGCTGGGGAGGGCAAGATCACCAGCTGGAGCCTGGTCAGTCAGCGTCCTTCGGAGGAAGCGCAGCCCAGGCCTGTTTTCTCCGAGCGAGAGCGCGGGGTAGCTCGGGCCAAGGCAGCCAGGGCGAGGCGCGTGCTGGCGGCAGGAGCCGCGGGGATGGAGAGCGGGTCTGAGGAGGCTCCCGCTTCCCAGAGCTGAAACAGGAGCCCTCTGAGAGAAAGAGATATTGCATGCGGCTTCCCTGACGCCTTGGAGGGCGACGTGGATGACACAGCAGCAGCCGTTCCCTCGCGGGGTGGGGACACGGTGGCGGTAGGCGTCTCCGCCATCCCGGGCCCTCGCGGGCAGGCAGTCCCCGCTGAAGCATCAGTGGAGAGGGGAAGGGAAGGTGACAGACGTCGAGGCGCGCTGCGTGCTTGGTAGACGGGGAGCCGCCGCCGCCGCGCGCCGCCCGCGGTGAGGAGCGGGGACCCAAGGACGGTCGGCGCGGGGCTGGGGGCGGGTGCAGCGTCGCGGCCGACCGCCGGCCCCATCCTAACTCGGCCCACCTGGATGCAGGGCGAGGACCGCGTGGGGCGGGCACGGCGCGCGTAGGGCGCCCCTCCCAGCCTGAGGGGCACGGCGCCAGGCAGAGGACCCCGACAGCCCAGTCTTGCACCCCCGCTGCCCTCCCTGGCGCCCGTCACGGGCATCACCATCTCCCCGTCTCCTCCCTTAAAATAGTGAAACAAACCGTGTAGTAAAGTGATGGAAAGCCGCGGGCAGCTGGGAGCCGCGGGGGAGGGGCGCGGGGGCGGGGGCGGTGGTCGCCAGGCAGACGGGGACAGCGCCCAAGTCCCTTACGGGGGTCGACCCGACTCTCCAGGGCCCGGGCGCCTCCGGAGGTAGCAAAAAAAAAGTTGGGGCTGCAGTGGGGGTTGGGGTGGGGACGCCAGCTCCATCCATCCTGGGATGGCAGCCGCGGTCACCCCGCTGAGATGGGGCGGGGGCGACGGCGGTGACTAGCGGGTACCGCGCCCCCCCCCCCAGCCGGCCGCGCTGCGGCCGCTCAGTAACACGTCCCCAGGAGACTCGCAGGAGCAACACGTGATGTGTCTACTTATCAGGGTGAGGGGGAGCGAGCTCCGGGCGTGCGGGCGAGGAAGCGGGGCGGGGGGCCGGGGCGGGGGCCGGGACGGTGGCGGGGGCGCTGGGGTCGCCGGCGCTCGCCCACCTCCCTCCCAGTGGGAGAAGAGGAGGAGGGGAAGTGACTGCGGAGTTGATGAACTTTGCACATCCAGAAACGCCATTTTGATTCCTTTTCCGGAACAAGTTTGCATCTCTCCTCGCCGTCTCCCCGCAGCCCACCGGTCCCCACCGCATCATGCCTGGGAGCCGAGCGCCTCGCCGGGCCGTAAGTACGCGCCCCGGGCTCCGGCTTGCGGTCCTCGCTGGGTGGCAGCGGGATGTCCGGTGCTGTGCCCGAGCGACCTTTTAAAGAACTTTTTTGGGGATGGGGAGGGCGAGGGCTGGAGAGCGCGTTGTGCTTGGAAAACTCAGTGTCTCCGGGGTGCAGGACCCCGCAGCCCCGTGCCGCTCGGCGTGCACTCGGGGCGGTGGGCCGGGGCGCCGGGAGGAGCGGGGCAGCCTCTCCCTCCAGCCGCGCGCCGCCGCCGCTCCTGCTCCTGCTCCTGCTCCTCCTCCTCCTCCTCCTCCTCCTCCTCCTCCTCCTCCCCTTCCTCCGCTCCTTTCCCCTTCCCGAGCCGCGGCTCTGCCAACCAGCTCCAGGCGCGAGCGGCCGCAGCGCCTCGCCAGCGGGACCTGAAGCGCATCCATATTAGCCGTCCGAGCGCAGGAATCCGGCCCGACCCGCGCCGCCGAGTTTATTTTTAACCAGCACCGCGGGGCCTCGGATAGTGCGCTCACCGCCAGCCTGAAACATCTTCCCAGCGTTGCTCTCCATCTTCCGCCCTCGCTCCCCCGACATCCTCCCCCCCCCCATGTGGGAGGGGAAACTTTTCTCCTACATACTTTCGAGTCCCTCTCGGGCCGGGAAGCGCAGAGATGACGGCGCCCGCCCGCCAGCCGTCGCCAGCACCGAAAGGTATCCGGGGGTGCTCACAGGGGGTTGGGGGTACCCGCCGGGGGTGCAGGGCTCGGGGGTGTTACGCTTGGTGGGAGCATCCGCCGCGCCCTACTCCGCGGACTTTGATCCTCCGGGGCAGAGAGCTCCGGGCTGGAGGGGGCCTCGAGCTGTCCTGTGCCCCGGCTCGATTGCGGCGGGGGTCGCGTCGACCACTGCCTTGGGGCGTGGGGAGAGTGGAGGGGCCCAGGGCCGTGGCGACGCGTATTGTTCGCAGCCCTCTAGTCGGTTGGGTGCGTGTTTTCGTGGGGGCCTTCGGCGTGGGGCGAGCCTCCATCGCGGGGGTGGGGGGGCTCAGCTGCCGGCGCCGTCACGAGCACAGGAAGAAGGCCCCGAGCATCAGAGGCGGGGCGGCCGCACGGCCCCCTCGCCACCCAGCTGTGTAGTGCGTTCGCTCGGAAACTTTTGTCCGCCGCCCGCTGGACCAATTTTTTCGAGAGTTCTGGTGCTTAGCTTCCTCTTCCCATCCCGGCCCGCAGCACCGAGCTGGTGGTTGCGGAGGGGGAGGGCGGTGCTGGGAGGCCGGGGCTGGCGAGGCAACGGTTGGGGTGGGGAGGCGAGGGGACCCAGGGTGCCCCCCCCCCGCGCGCTTAGCTCTCCGCGCCCCCTCCCCGCTCGCGGTCTCTTAGGAAACTGCGACCTTAACGGTTGCTAAGGAGCAGGGGAGGTCCTTCCCGTCGCCAGCCCCCTCCCTGGGAAAGCGGCGTGTTTTCTGGATGGGGGCCGGGGTAGTGGCCAGGATAGGACGTGCTCCCCCTGGCCCTGTCCTGCGGCGCGTGAGTGCAGGGTGCTAGGCAGGGCGGGGGTCGGGGGGGGCGGGTCCCCTGGGGCTCGGGTCCTTAGGGGCGCGGGCCTCCGGGGGCGCAGGCCCGGCGCTTGACAGGCGCCGCGTGCAGCTTGCGTCCCTCGTCCGAGGCGCATCCGTGATGGGTTATAAAAGAGGAGGAAAGTAGTTCTCCTTGCTCAGCAGATTTGCCCTCCCTCGCTCCTTACTGGTTAGGAGATAGAACGTGAGCCCAGATCCGGACGAGCAGTTCACATTCCATTACGAAATTCTACACGGCTGCAGAGCCAGTCCTAGCACACTTTTCGGGCACTTTGGAGGGGGTTTTCTGCTTTTGGAGGATGCTAAACGGTGCTGGTGGCAGTAATGGTGGCAGAGAGAGAAGGGTGAATAAAAAAATAAAACTTTTTGGCATGCTGAAAAACCTGTCTGAGGGTTTTCCTCTGGAGTTCAGTTCACTCTCGTCCTTGCTTTAGAGTTTAGATTTAAACTGAGTCCTTTAAAAAGCTAAGGGAAAGGATAGGGATGCTGGAAATAGCGAGGTACAGCTGACTTGAAGGAGAGTGGAGTTGTGCAAAGGCTGAGTTGCTGGCATGTGTCCCCTTGTTTTTCAGACCCCCCCCCCTTTGGGTAATGTGATGAATGATCTGTGTATGTGTCCGAGTGTACTGTGAACTAAGTGAAATGAAGTGGAAGGTGGGTAAGCCAAAAGGCAGACTTTTTCACACTTGTGGAAAGCATCCTTCGTTAACTTTGGTGCATTTTCGAGTAGGCGGGCAGGTATGGTATCTTAGAGGTAATTAAACCCGGAAGTCTGAGTTAAGAGACCAACGGCTTGGTTAAAACCCCTTTATAAAGAAAAAAAAAATGCTTCATTCAAGCATCCACAGAACTTTCTAAGGTATGGGTTTCTTCAAATAATATATGCTAAGCTGGACCACTAGTTTTAGGTTTTTTTTAAATTTTGAGTTTGTTTTTTTACTTCTGTCCTTTGGAGGGAGCTTTCTGGATATTGGCTAATGGGCTGTACTTTGATGTGTTTTTAAGCTTTGGTTACACTGATGAATTAAACATTTGAAAAGCTTTAATCAAGTTTTAAATGTGTGAAAAAATAACCTCCCTTTTTTTACAAAAGACAGGGAGAGAGGAGCTCTTTGATTTGGTTGTCCCTTTTTCTCTATTTTAGGTTAACGAGGTTGCAGTTTTATCATTCTTAAAACTACTGCTATACTTTAGTTGTCCTTTAGGATGTTTGTTTTTAAAGAGGGTTTGCTTAGACACATGATACTCTGAGATGCTGCAGATGCTTACTGGTGCTATATGGGATGTCATTCTCTGGGTTTTCCTGGATACCACTTCCTTTCTCATGAGAAACTCGGGGCTGGGCACCCTCGTGGCAGACAAGAGTCTGTTGTGTAATGAACACGCATCTGACTCTGCTGGTACAGGTGGTGCATCCGTTCCTAGCCACTGACATCATCCAACAAGTGACCTTTACATGGAAGGGTCTTTTATTTTAGATTCTGCAGGCAGACGCCTGACATCTTACACAGGTACAAAATGCCAAAGGAGGAAAGTACAGTCTAACCTCCTTAGTCTTGCATCTGATCGGCAGCTGTTGATGGGTTATGTGCTGTGGGCTGGCCACTAGCTAGCTGCTGCTTCGGGACTTTTCATTTTTTATTCTTCGATTTGGAACTGCAGTGTGGTTCCACTTCCTAGGTCAGTGTGGAAGAATGCTCACTTCTTGGTATCTTTTTTTCATTGTGCGCTAAGGAAATTTCTTGGCTGATGAAGTTGCAAAATTCTACTTTTGCCCGGTTTAATTAATATAAACTTAACATCTACAAAAATTGCTTAAACGTGCTCTCCAGAAGCAGCCAGGAGTGAATTCTTTTGATGTTTCTATTCATTATCCTTCTGAAAAGTAGGTGGTGCTTAGAAGGTCATAGGATAAGGGTTGCTAAGCAGCTAAACAGAAGGATGCTAAAATTAACTAAAGCATTTTTGAAAGGGAGCCCTTCCCTTTTTAAATTATTTACCAGGTTTAATTAATTTTTGAATCGTCCATGTTCTTTGACCCAGGGAAGGTAGGATGTAAAAGTTTGTTTTGTTTTTATAATTTTATTTAAATCTTTCTTTTGTAAGTGGCTTTAATTGAAGTTTGGTATCCTCTGGCACAGCCCTGTGGTATCAAATGGCAGCTTGTCTTGTCTGTTACCTTTGTTTAGGTTAAACCTTCCCAACCTGTCATGTGTTAATAACAATTTTTGTTGTTGTTGTTTTGGTTTCTTTCTTTTTTTAAAAAAATTTTCTGCCTAACCCATAAAGTGATGTCTTACCTTTATTCTTTTTTTAAAGAGCAGATATATTTATTAGAGGGAAAGAAAGCTCCTGTCCTAGAGATGGACAGAAGGAAGACTGGAGTGGGTTGCCACCCTTACTTTTATTAAGCAGATCTACAAAAGATAGAAATGCAGTATAGTGTCAAGAGAAACTATGCGGGACATTTTCTCTGATAAGGGGACAATAGTTTTCTTTCCCCCTCACCAAGATACCCTTCCCTTAGATTAGGTCTTAGTTGGCCCCTCCTGTGTTCCTCCCATCCCTAGCTCAGTTTATTCAGCCCATTACAAGGATACCTTTTTAAAAACAATTGTGATAGGTGGGGAATGCCTTTTGAAGCACTGACAGAAGCACTGTGATTTGCATTGCATTTTCAGTGAGAGAAAAGGTTAGGCTGTGGCGGATGCCCGGCTGCTAACCTTCAGCGTGGTCCCCTTGGGTGGGTAGCAGGCCTGCTGGAGAACGGGCTGTTCTCCTGCCTGAACGTGGATTGTTACATTCGCCTATTACACAGGCGCTGTTGAGTCAGAGTTCTTACATTGAGATGTAATTTAAAAAGTGGTAAGTCTTCTTTCTGTTTCCTTTCTCTCGTGTTTATGCTTAGAAAGTGATTTTTAAGTAGAATTAGCCCCGGCCTTCTTCAAAAAGCGAGAGTCAGAGAGTGATTTCCATGCCCCGGGGTGGGGGGCTCCCCAGAAATCAGAGGTAAAAGGTGAAAGCATCTGAAACCCGGAGGGAGGCATGCATGTGCTTTCTGAAATGCATCACTTACTTGTAACTTCCCCACTCCCACATGGAAGGCAGCCTACAGCGAGGAGACACGGCGGTAGCCCGTGTTTTCTTTCCTGCCGAGGTAGAAGAATGAGGAAGGAGGAGGAGGAGCTTTTCCCAGTAGCAGTCTCTCGGGCAGTGCCATCAGCTCTAAGCGGTACTCAGTTTCTCCCGGTGTCCAGCCAGGCCTGAAAGGCACCCACCTGTGGCTGGCACCAACTCTGCCGTCGACTGCCTCGGGCGGCCTGGAGGGGACAGGGACTGTCCTTCCGGTCCCCAGTACGTCTTGCTGGTGATGGGTCGGCCGAGTACAGGTTAGCCCGTCTGCCCATCGGTAGGGGTGGCTGCCTGTGAATAGGAGCTGCAGACAAAGCAGTGGGAGAGGGTGGAGACTGTTTGTTCTGTGTGATTCAAGCAAGTAATGCTTAGAGAATTTGAAAACCTCTGTGAAGGCCGGGATGGGGGACTGACTGCTCCTGAAGGGATTCACCTGAGGGCTGTAGGACTCCTTGCGGGCGGGCGGGCGGGCGGGGCGGAACTCACTGGGTGGAGAAGGAATGAAATCCCCCACTGGCTTTGTCAGACAGCCAGGCTAGAGAGAAAAAGTCTCAGTGGGGGTAATTAGATAAAGCTTTTAAATGCTCTATTTGTTTTTCCCCTGAGCTTGCTTGGTATTTCACCCCTGCCATCCCTTTCTGAGACTGTGTGGTAGAATGGTTATAAAAATGTTAGATATGCCTGGTGGAGTTTGTTTTAAAAGTTTCTTGTTTAGGTGTACCTCTTTGGACCAAATTTTAACCTGCTTTTGCAAAGGCCTTTCACAAAATTTGATCTTCTGCTCAGAGCAGCTCTATTTTATAGCTACATCCTTGGGTCCCCCCTTGGGCTGGTAAGACATCATCCCAGAACCAGATCTCCAAGTCCGGCCTAGCTCTGGAGAACAGCTGCTCTTCAGACTCAGCTTGGCATCAGAGGACTTAGCATTGAAGATGTGTACTGCCTGGTTTGCTCGAGGTTGAGTATGTTGTTTGTTAATGAGACCAGAGCCTTTTGCAATTAA